GGATCCTGAGCCTGTGCTAAGATATCAAGCTGCATTATATAATACCAAAGCGTACATATCACAAGAGTCACACAAGCAGAAGAAGGGCGCCCACCAGAATTCCACACAAATGAGACAGGAGTTTCTCTAACAAACAATGACATTTCATGGAAATGCACCAAACACTGTGAAATATGGGAGCTGTTCCAATTCAGGTTCGGGGTTCCTTTAGCCAACTCCCATTTTAATGGGTTCGTTAAATTGGGAAACCGTGATGAGGAAGGCCCTATATAAACCGAACTATAAATAAAAGTGCTAGAAAATGAAGTTTATGATTATCCTGGTTTGGTTACTTTTTTGTCTATATTCTACCCAGCAACACCCCTGATCGTGATGCCCAAATGGATTTAAAGCTACCAACTGTTCACAGTGAACATGAGCACAGGCTAGGAACAGCTTAAAGTGAGAAGAATCGTTCTTCCTAAGTTATACTTCATTCATTTTTAAATCCCTTTCATCTTGCTGAATTGACAGCTTGAATTTGCTTGACCTCTCGCTTATGACGCCTGAGCTGAGCGCAAGACTAATGGGGAATTTGTGTACTACCGATGACACAAAAACTGTGGACTCAGGATTTACTATACATTAAGACTACAGCGGACAAAAAAAGCTTATTTACACAGGTATACGGGCCACGCAAACGGGAGGTGCCATGCGTCTCTCCCGATGGGTTGTACGCATACAAATGCATGGCTTCTCTTCGGCATATTGCATCAGTGATGTGCAGTCCATCCAAACTTTGTCAAATGATGCATGTAAGGGTCAAATAAGCAGTTATTACATAATGCACTCCAACCCCGATTTATTCATATTAAATGCAATATATATGTTATGTCATATTCCATATTTAAATAATTTATTGATTAATAAATGCTGCGGCCGGTGAGAGACGCACTGGCGCCCAATAATATGTTGGAATCATATTTGTTATACTGATTTAATTGAGTTGAATCGGTGCATATTTCTTAGTTATACGGCGATATTGGAGCATCGACCCCAGCAGTGATGGGTAGAGGACATTACCTCTTGTAACTGCTCCAGCTCCTGCTTCAGAGCTTCCTGCTCCGATTCCAGATCTGCGTATTGCTGCTTTAGAGCCTGGTTCTCCTCCAGCACCACAAGACCACATTCCGCCGCTCGGATTTTCTCCTGGTTCGCCTCCGCAAGCTCCCGGGTAAGCCGCTCCACCTCTGCCCGGTAATGATCCACGGTTTCCCCGCATCTTCCCCCTGCAGCCATCGCCCCTTCTCTGTCTCGCCGTCCCAGCGTTGGTTAGACAGAGAGGCGGAGGCAAAAAGAAAAAAAAAACACTAAAGCAAACGTTACCCCGGTCCCTTTCAAGTGCGGATGTAAACTGTGATGTCTAACAATTAAATAAATCCCATATTTATCTTCAACCCCAAGATGCGAGATCCCCTGGACGAGGCACGGCTATATTCATTTAATAAATTGTTTAAAATGTGCGTTCGATTTCCCTTCCTGCGTCCTCCCCTTTATCTCCTTTAATTTCCGAACCTTTTTTCGTTTCTTTTTTCTTTTTTGCTTATTCATGGGGAACTGGACGCCATCTCTTCGGATAGATTGAAATCTAGACGCACAACTCTGCCTCCATCCTTGGGCTGCTGACGTCAGTCCCAGAGGCATCTGGCTAGTTAACGCCGGAGAGAAGAGCCCTGATTGGCTCTAATATATTATTCACTGAAAATACATATTAAGCTACTAGAATTAATATTAATTACAACCATGACGAACGGCTTGTGTTGATATATTATTTAATTCCCCGTGTAATACATAATAAAGAAAAACATCTGAAACTCACATAAATGTTCATATTTTCAAACTGCACAAAAAAGTACAGTTTTAATGAAAAGTCTACAACCATACGCGTCTTTGTAGCGGTTTGTTTTTTTGAAGTGCTGTATTAATTTATCGAGCTAGAAAAATACATGAAAATCGACCATATTTGTATATATATAATCCAGCGCTAAAAGTGTAGGCCGCTTTGCTTTGGATTATAGATACAGTTTCGACTGTAATGGATGTAGACTACCAATAAACGAAATACGGTAAAACAATATTACTCGTGACTGTGGGGGTTTCATAATTACTTTTAAGACAGGTACTCGGTCTGTGCTGACATGGATGAACAACATATGGCGCTCATCTCTAACGTTTCCCATGCCTGGTTATAAATATGTAATTTGACATATTTCCCCCCCTATCAGTTATGCCTGATGCTTTGTGTTTGAACGCAATCTAATGCATTCCAAGCAGTTTGTGGCAGGTGAGAGAGAGAGAGAGAGAGAGAGATCGATCGATTCCGCATCTGAGACGGAGTGCCCCGATTCGATACCGCTGCGCTGGATTTACAACACTTTCACTACCAAGTAATTTTAAATATATTTTACTGCAAGTTTGTACTATTACATTATCATCCTGACGTTCATTATACATATGTGTAAATACTTATTATTCAACCAAGACTTATTCACTACTATGTGCTAAGCACATTTGTCCTAGAGCGAGTATGTGAGCTGTTAATAATACAGGTTACTTCCTCAATATTTATGAACATATTTTAAATAATATGAAATAACACTAAATCAAATAAAATTAAATTAATTGTTTTGTCTTTGTATAACATTGTAGCTCCAAGTTAAAAGATTTGAGGGATATACTGAATCTGACAATCCCTGAATTATTTTGGTTTGGGTAAAACATGCTTATACTACAACATGTGTGATGTGTGTGGGGGGTATGTATATATTACATCATGTGGTCAAATGTCCTTGGGACATTTTTTTGATCCACACAAGGGGAACACACACAAGGTGGAACCAGAGTACCTGGACGAAACCTGACGACAGCACAGGGAGAACATGCAAACTCCACACACATGGAACCCTGGCAGAGACTTGAACGCTGGTCCCGGAGGTATGAAGTAACAGTGCAAACCAGGGCACCACTGCACCACCCCCCTCCTCCCCCAATGCAAACAACCTGCTAAAAATGCCAAAAGTCTTGTATTTTGTTTGGTTATTTATGGTTAAGGTTAGGGCTGAGTAGGGGTTAAGGTTGTCATTGTTGGGATTAGGGTTTTTCCCATAGAAATGAATGGAGAGTCCTCACAAAGATATAAATACGTGTGTGTGTGTGCGTGTGCGTGTATATACGCATGAACGTTCAGGTTGTGTGTCTGCTGGAGGGAGTTTCTGGTTGACGATCTGTTTACTTAAGCGTATGAACTTCGTGGACGCTCCCTGAACTGTAGCTTGTGATTGGGGCGTTGAGAAGCTACGCTTTGTCATTTCAAGAAAAATATGTTATTTAAAATGTTCAATTTAAAACAATGCTGTGCATATCAATAAAACATATGATATGGATAAACCTTTTTAATTGATTTGCTCTCTCAGAGGACGTTGGGATGTACGCGATAAGTGTTTGATAGTGCCTGGACCATTAGGAGGTTGTAAAGAGAGATAAAAGCAGGGTGAAGTTGGAGTCAAGGCAAGACCGGTGTTGTAAAGAAAGGTGAACTAGGATTCACTGGAACAGTCGATGTATTACTCCAGTCATCACTGCCATAGACATACCGCATTTCCACTCCCAGGGAGAGGTTATGTTGAGCCATGAGCAACAGACAACAGATTTTGTCAGTTCACCTATAATAAAAACACTAAGGTAACGCAGGATATCTACCTGGTAACTAGCTAGCTAGCATCTGTTTCACAGGAAAAGTAGTGAAATATCACACTTAGTGTAGCCTACATAACTGTAATGTCACAGAATGCAACCACAGGCATTTCTTTAGATTTTTTTTTTCCACTCACTGATTTGCGCCCCCTAATCATAACGGCGCCCTAGGCGATCGCCTACACAGTGGGCCGGCTCTGTTCAGACAGAACATTATGTCACGTACAATCCAGTGCTGCTATCACTATGACAAGGTCAGGTTGGGAAAGCAAAATTTAACACATGTGGGCGAAGCGGAAATCTGTCATGCTAAACTCTGGTTTTTTATTTCACGTCCCAAGCACTTCTCGATCAAATGCCCTTTGCGTCGATAACAAGGAATAAGCAATGAGGAAGTAGCAACAAACTTTGCGTACACACTTCCTCACAAATTTCTCTGAACTGAATCTGAATGGACAGGTGTACAGTGCATTGGATGTGTTGACAGACCCCTATCTATGAGTCTTCACCTCTTGTTCTATGGACTTCTTCGCTGTGGGAGGTGGAAGTCACTGATATGACTACATAGTCAATTGTCAAATATCTTTCGCAACAATCTCCTGTAGGACGAGGTTTAAAATGCTTACAGCTTAGTAATCAGTGTTGAACAGGATAGAATAGCTGAGATGTGGCAGAAGACTGAAAAATCTCAATGTAAGCCTACATTAGGTAGCGATAGATAGAAGGAAAACTGACACCAACATAATGTTAATAGCTTAACATCCATAGTGAAGTACATTTATGTCAGGTTAAATACAGTTAGTTAACTGTGGAACTGAAATAGAGCAGTATAAAAGACTTCTTCTTTAAAAGTACTTTTTTTCCACAGAAGTTCAAAGCAGACTTATGGAGGATCACAGAAAACTCACAGTCTGAGGACACAACAGACAGATGTTTTTGGAGAAACTGCCTGTTCTGCATACATTCCTAAGCCTTAATACCGTGGCTGACCGGCCGGTGAACCTCTGAATTAAGATAAAGGAGAAATGTATCTATATAGACTCATAAACTCATCGAGCAATAATTAGACATTTTGTCAAGAATTGGCATTTACAGCCGCCATAACCAGTAGAACATCTGTTGATCAGTGATATGATATAAGAAATGGACTTGACTGCAGTCTGTGTTATGTAATGACACTGTAAGTAGCGCCTTAAACAATGCTAGCTGTCTCTCTCAGCCTGTCCAATTTGTGTTAATTAACAGTTAATCAAGTTATATTCCTAATAAACTTATATGCACAAAGGTTAGAAATTCATATTTATTTACAAAAACAACCATGTAATTTACCTGGATAAACACACCAATTCTTATTTTAATATTACTGCCTCATTAAGACATTTAAACACAACTAACCAAAGACAAACACTGGCATGTAGCGATGCAGTACAATCTACACATAGATGGAAATCGCTACTCATAATGATACAGCATCATCAACATGGAAACTTTGTGTTGCAATGCATGTGGACGATGATCAGATCAATAGTTCACGCCTCGCATTGTGCCCCAGTGGGAGTCAATCACATCGAAGCATCCCCATGGGTAGGTCGCAGGGGGGCTAATCGAGGTGTGTGCGAGGGCCAGGGGGAGTGGATATATTATGGTAGGTGGGCGGAGCTTAGAGGAAGAGTGGGAGAAGTGTCCAGGGGGTGCGGGTAAGTCCATGATGGCAGTCTTGTGGATGAAGGGAGTGGACCAAGGTAGAAGATCACAAGAAGAAGGCAGACAGAAGCACCTGTTCTGTGTAGAACGGAGGAAGACGGATTTAAAACATCACTTCACTGTCGGCCACTAAACCAATACAACAATAATAATCGAGCAGCAATGGAAACTAATATAAATATTTGTTACAGTCAGCATAGATAGGACATGTGAGGTTCACTAACTTGTCTACAGGAAGTTGTGGGTTCAGACACTGGGTCTTCCCCTGCAAGGTCTTCATCACCTGGGTTGTCCTTGGCCTCACTCCTCCGCCATCTTGCTCTGCGGTTCTGGAACCAGATCTGAGCGGGTCGACATGAGAGTGGGGTCAAGTGCCTGTTAACTTCATCATTTCTATTCTGCATGAAGACATACCCAAGCACACACACACACACACACACACACAATGGAGACCGAGTTGCCAGATTCAACATATAGACATTTCATCACATTTATAGTAATTGGAGAACCTGAAGCTTAGCTTTTGGATTGGATTGGATCTAACTAGTCCAAATTGCACACCGCATTCAGAAAACAATGGCTGCCCTTTATCTAAGTGTATAATCTTTGTGTGTCATTAAATATGTGTGATTCTTCTCTCCCGTTTATTTTCCATAACTGTAATCTCATTCAGCTGACACTTTGACGTACACTTCTACCTAGAGCCTGCTTTATTAATCTTTTATCCACCCATCCCTCCATCCTTCCATCCTTCCACACTAACTTTTTGTCCCAGTCAGCATATTTTTCACCAGTGTAAAATTTTAGCACATTAAATATGTATTCAGTGTAGTAGAATGAGAAATACAATTGAAACAGTCTAACAAAAGAAGTATAGGTATTTATTTTAGATATTTTGATGCTTTTTATTCCTTAAAGGATATAAAAGAGGGATGAATATTGATCTTGTCAGGAACTGTTCCTGCTTTGACTGTCATCTCCTCATTTGGCCAGCAGGTGTCACAGGCCATTGCATCCTTTTTGCTGTGTTTTGTAAGTACAGCATCCTTCTGTGTTCCTAGCTTGTTCCCTTGCTCTCCTGGTTGCTGTATAGCCAAAAGTGTGAAACGGGTACGTGAAAAGAGTACCTCCCTTTTGCCATGGGTTCGAAGCCAGTTGGAGGCTAGCCTCAATAATGTTGGTTATTTTAGTTTCCAGTTTCCCCAGTGATATTATGTACTTGTGTTTATATTTCTATATTGGTTCATGTATTTGTTCTTGGTTGTGTTACGGTTGTGTTGTTATATCTTGCTCCACCTAGTCCCCAGTATTTCCTAGTGTTCATTCCCTTGTGTTTGCTTCATTGTTAATTATCCCCACCTGTTTTTCATCTGCCCTCGTTATCAGTGTATTATGTGCCTTGTCAGAAGCTTTGTTTGTTTTCCGCATGTTACCCACATGTGACGATGTTCTTTGTGGTGTTTTCCTCACCCTTTCCTGGTGTTAGTCTTCCTCACTTTGTGTCACCTTCCTGCCTTGTGTTTTGACTCCTCACGGTCCCTTTTGTTTTTGGTGTCTGTTAGGTTCCGTTTATAATAAAATCATATAATTAAATTGTCATATAATTTGTACAATAACATGTGAACGTGCATTAAAATGTCTGGACATGTTGCAGACTACAAAGCCTATATTCACTGAACTCTCCCCTTATTTGGATGCAGCCATCCTGCCCCTCTACGTACCTGAACACGGCCCTCAGAGAGCTGTGTACGTGTGGCCAGTAGGTCTCGGGTCATGGCATCTGGGTAGTGTGTGTTTCTGAAGACGTTCTCGAGCTCCTGCAGCTGGTCTGGAGTGAAGGTGGTTCTTGCCCGCCGGCCGCCCTTCCGTCCCGCTGGGTACACATCGTTATGGCTCTTACCACATTATCACCGGCCACATTTGCGTTATTCTGACATTTCCCTTATCAATGCTGCCTGTATTTCTTGACTGAAATTAGTCATTCATAATAAACATTGAAAATGTTTCACCTACTGTTATAGGACATTATATCACAAAATAGTGATTGAGTGAAATATGAGATGCCCTGTAAGTTACATCCTACATATCTGACATTCCAAATTAAAGCATTTTCCTTAGAACGTCTCACCTGCTGGAGCCTGGGGGGGCATGCCCCCCTGCCTGTTCCCCTTTGCAGGTCCCCAGCTCTCTGCTTTGTCTCCTGGGGGGCCTGTATGGGTGAGTGTCTGACTTGTTGCCAGGTCAGGTGGGGCGCTCCCTGTGACTCGGATCTCACACGGCGCAGTGCCTCTCTCCGGCCGCCTCTCTGCGGACACACAGGAGTCCTCAAATAATTTCCTCCAGGATCATAGAAGCATGCTGACTCTGAGCAGTTGGGCGCGCTAATACACTTATCACTGATGTCCATCATGAAGCAGAGAAGCTGATGCATTCAAAGGTACATTTATTAAATCAAAGGTAGACCTGAACTTACGCAAACTGTGTGGATCCAAATACAATTTATAGCCAAATCCCACAATCCTGGGTTTTGGAGAAACATGAATAAAATTCCAGTCAAAGGTTACATAAATTAGGAAGTATAACTGAAAAATAGAACAATTCATGGGTTATGGGCAACTAATATTACAAAAACAATACATAAATTCAGTCTTGAGATATACCATAATCATTTTTACAGTTATACAATACATGCTATACAATACAGGAGTAATACAGAAATGTATTCTTCTCCACAGTCTTAGATGCAGCAATTTGTGGATTCGTACCTGACTGGGCAGCTGGCCGCTGAGTTTCTTGTACGATTTGCACTCCTACACACAGAGTAGGAGTGTTCCTGCCAGGCTGCCTGGCCAAACATGGTTTCCGTAAGATTTCCTCGATGGAGTGAGACAGTGTTCTGCGGGAATTCGGCGCTCGGCGGGCCACTGCATCCCCGTCCACAGTCTGAAGCGGTCTCTGCCTTTCAGGATCCGCGATCGACGGCACCATCACGATGCTCTGCTCTTGCCTTCCTGTCAAGCTTGCTCAGGCCATCGGAGTTTGAGCCTTGTGCCCAGTATAAAGTCTCCAAAGTGATCTCCAGAGTCCTCTTCTCATTAAAATAAAAAAATGCTACTGTTGTTCTCCCCCACTTTCATTATGTCGCCTGTGTTCTGAAAGTTACTTTACTTCTCATCCACTTGCCTTTCCTCCTCACCGTCAATCCCTCGTTCTCTTCCTCCTCCTCTCTCATTCCATAATGTCATGAACACTGTCAAGTGACTCCCCCCCCCCCCATCAATTAGGTGAGTCCGGGGATTACTGTATAACCAAGGTGCCAATAAACAAGCCCTTCATTGTGTTTAGACTCGTTCCTCTTCTCAGTTATCCTTAGTCGTCCCTTTCTTTGTCATCTCTGTTGTCTGCCTCTGTCCACTGCTAACGTTACTCTGCCTTTAAAGTCAGTCTGCCTCTGTCTACTGCTAACGTTACTCTGCCTTTAAAGTCAATTTCTGTGGCCATGTTCAGGGCGTTCTTCCTCACCCAGTGGCATTATAGCAGCACTGTTTAAATACATGACTTAAGACAACACCACAAAATGTATCTGCTCGGTGACCTCAGTAATTTCAGCTTTATTAGACCTGAATTAGTCCTGGTGCTTGTAATTTGGTTCCTTCTCTTTGTAAATTGTGATACCGCTCTGAAATATTTGTGAAAAATGTTTTTTTGGTTTCAGCTAATGTTTGTCTCCATTCCTAGACACAGCATAAATATGTAAGACCTGCGTGTAACTTTGAACATGTATACCTTTAAGGCAAGTTCCAATAAAGCGCTTGTTTTCAGGGATATTTAGTACAAACTACAAAACTAGTAAGTAATAAAGTTCACGTGTTAGCAGTGTACCTTTTTCAATATACCACACCAATGTAACTTAAAAACCTGCACTAGTGGTGCACAGTAATGCATCTCGCCCATGAACAGACTGAAATCTAAAACCTACGTGTTTCCACAAGCAAATGAACCCTGAGCTTACATTGATAAGATTGCTGTTGAATTACATGCATTGCAATAATATCAATACTGTCCCTGTTTATATCCTTTCACCTGGTAATTAATTTAGAAACTCCTGAAAGCATGTGTTCTTAATCCGGCCCATTCTGAACATTTAAACTCCAGCTAAAATTCACCTTAAATGTGAATTTTTAATTAGCGTTGCTCAAACTGCTGCATTTTTTTATGATAGGCATGACATAGACACGTGAGTCTGGTATCTCTTAAGCTTCTGGCCTCTCGCTGCCCTTTAATACTCAATTTCAACTTTACTCCACAATGTCATTGTTGTTGATTGTATGCTAAACGGTGACTCCTAGTGTCAATTCAATGTATTGCATTGAATTGGTGCTAAGCTGTTCCCCTGTATTTGGATGGAGTTCCTCTCCATCTAGTGGCAATAAACGTCAAAAAACCTGATCCATTAAACCCATCCATCTTTTAACTGCGTAGTGCTTACCCTGCTCAATGCCTGGTGTCTACTCCAGATAGCACAGGCCGTAAGTCTGGGGTATAACTGAGTTGGATGCCAGTACACTGCAGGACACACATAAGTAAACAAAAAGTCACACACCATATGCATGTCTTTGAACTTTTGAACCGAAATCGGTTGAAGCATTTGTTTGGTAAATATGAGAAATACTCCAGCATTTGTTGATTCTGCCCCAGGATCTCTGCCCATTGCAATGTGTCTGAAACCCGTTTGCACGGGAGCTGACCATATGGATCTGTTGCCCAGATCACCTCAGCTGACCCCTCGTGACCTGGATCTCTGAACTCCTCCTCCTTTAACAGAGAAGGAACCCAGGAACCCAGCAGAAGAACCTTATCATGGCCACTTGCACTCATGATCATGTTATTTTTGCCAAAAACCGCAGTTCATGACTAAACTAATGTTCTGAGCTATACATCAAGAACAAAGAGCGGCGACCACTGAAGCTTTAAGGCTTGTATCATTCTCAGAAAAACACATGATTAATGACGAACGAGGTCTCACTTCCCACAGAGACACACTATTGAGGATGAGCGGTTGATACAATTGTCTTGCTACTTTTCTACCTATCTGAAAAACAAAGCCACCAAGAAACAAACAACATTCTCCATTTTGGACATATTTTACTTTTTTAGTGGTCCCACTTTACAATAAGGCTCCCTTTGCCACTTATAACTGGTAGTAACTCATTAATAAGAAGAAAACTGTGGTATAACTTGTTTATAATTGTCTAGTAATGATTTACAAAGTGTAAATTGAAGCCCAGATACATTTCTTACAAAATCTACGTCTTCCATCATTTTAATCAACACAGTCAGCACATTATATGCAGCTCTCTGAAAAAATAAGAGACCATATATGTTTTAAAAATCTGCATTTTTAAATCCTGGTTTATCCTGGTTTGCTTCCAGGCTCAGAATTTCTAAGACAGCAGTACACAAGAACAAGGTGAAGCAGAAGACACGAACAAAAACCAGCCAGGGAGAGGGCAGAAGCGACTTTCTACTGCCGGAGATGACTGTCAGCTTATCCGACAGTGCTTTGAGGATGACATTAAGTGGTGTAAAGTGCACTACTAGGACAGTTCATATCAGCCTCCTGGAAGCAGGACTGAAGTGTCCTATAGAACAGCTGAAGTCCTTCATGAATGAGAAGCAGTGAAGTACCACACTGCAGTTTGCAAAGAAAATCTGTACTTTACACAATAGCCTACCCATATATTGAGAAATGAGTGAAAGGGGCTGGTGTATCTTTGAATCTTCTGTAAAAATGCCATGAGATTCCTCTGGAAGTAACCAAGTCCGCAATTCACTCAAGTCAGTTGTCAGTATGGTATGTACATGATTTTGTAAATAGTCAGGCATGTTGTATCTCCGGAATGAAATCATATTAATATGGTGACCACAAGTCATCTGAACACAAGTCTTGGAATGAAATGAGTATAAAACCCAACAGCCTACTGAAGGCAACGGATCACGCATACATGTGAGACGATGACCCAGAAAAAGTGATTCGGTTCCCAGCAGGGAACTCATGACAGTCCTTACAATCCAATTCGAGCCGCATGTCATGTGATGCCAATTTCCTGCTTCTCCTCAGCACTAGATCTGTACGTCCCTCCACTCACATACATACGATAGCCGTTAGTCCACTGATTTATTCATTTGAAAGGCTCAACTACAGCCCATAAATTTACAGTCACTTATAGCAATCAGGAAATGGTCAGCCTGTCCTCATGTGACCAGTCTCAGGGCTAACTGAGCTCTGTGTCAGCATCGGACGCAGTAAATCAGATCATTCGGTGAGAGGATATATCTCTGGCTGCCCCGTCCTTCCTGTTTCGGCAGCAAAAGATAAACTCACTTACTGCCCTGAAGGATTATATCAGCTGCTGACAGCAGCCAGAGCGAGGGAATGACCCAGAAGGGCCCGCATTTTATGGAGCACATTAAGTTGGTTCAGTAGGAGCACAGGGGCTCTGTTCACACAGAAAGCATGTGACAGGGGCCTGTTCTGAGTTCAGCAGGGGAGGTCATGTCCAGTCAGACTGTTTACACTGTGCACACACACAGCCCACATATTCATATCTTTATGGGGACTCTCCGTTGACTTTTATGGGCAAAATACAATACTTTTGGCATAGTATTTTTAGTTTTTTGATTGCAGTCCCAGATTTTAATAAAATTAAGATCTCCCTTGTGGGGACCAAAAAATGGCCTCCACAAAGTCAAAATAAGAAGTTTTTTTATCACATTGTGGGGACACTTGGTCCCCACAATGTAATATATACATCACACACACACACATACATACAGCCACTGCTTCTTAAGCTTCATTCTCTTTAATAGATTTCCAATATTTCCATTTGTCTTCATTCACCAGTTCTTCTAATAACCCACAATATCCTTCATACTCTGACAGGCCACTGCACAGCCAGGTTGCAAACATTAAATACAATTCAAAATATAAACTTAGCCACTATTTTTAAAGCATGAAATTAGTTGTGCCCCAGACTTCATTAAAAAAAAATGAATTTACTCAACAGCAAGAGAATTAAGCTAGCATTGAATTTGACTGACGAATAACTGTCCCGATTGCAGTAAATTTTGTAATTAAATAAAAATCCTGTGACCTAACGCTTGTAACTACTCATATTTGAAATTCTGGTTCTTGACCATAGAATGGTAGAGACAAAAATGTCACCTACGAAAAGCTCAGTCACATGGATGCATGTGTAGCTGTAGGGGACAGAAAATCCTGCCCATGACACGTGCTTTTCCATGTCCAAATTATGCAGATGAGGATGACGGGGGGGGGCAGTCTCCCAGGCTTCCGACACGAGTCTGTAATCAGTTGTAGATGTGAGGTAATTGGGCTCACATGAAGAACTTGCAGGACTCAATCACTGCTACCACCAGCAGCAGCAGTAGCGTTCATCGTACGCCACGGTAACGCCCCCCTAGCCCACCTGCTTTCTCTCCATCTCTCTTCCTCCTCCACACCGTCCTCAATCCATCAGACACCAAGCTACCTGAGCCCCATGCTCACCCATGGCTACCGAGACGAAGGACAACGGACTGGAAAGCTACACGTTTCATGTGAGTATTTAAACAAAACTTTCCAACGGAAGTAATTAGGGAGTATTAGAATGATGCTGCATTGTGGTGTGCTGGTGTTAACTAGGACCTGTCAGTATTCAGGTATAACAGAATAAAACAGTATAACAGAACTCTAAGTTTTTCCAAACAAGGAACATTGCTAAAGTTAATCACACAAACTGCTATCTTCGAACAGAAACTCGTTTTACTTCAGTCTCTGTGAGTCTGCCTTGTACATTTTCCTGCACTGTATTGTTGCTCATATTCATCCTCTTAATTTTGCAATGGGTCAATTATCAAGCTTCATCTGTCTTTATAATCTGTGCCTGTAACCACGGTAACAATATGCTGCCTTAGAAACGTAACAATAAAATAAATATATGGTGGAAATTAGTGGGAGAACATTTTAAACTGAATTTGAGAAAACACTTCTTTACACAACGTGTAGTTAGAGTATGGAATAGTCTTCCTGCTAGTGTAGTGGAAGCTAAAACCCTGGGTTCCTTTAAATCAGAGCTAGGTAAGATTTTATCAACTCTGAGCTATTAGTTAAGTTCTCCCCAAACGAGCTTGATGAGCCGAATGGCCTCCTCTCTTTTGTAAAATTCTTATGTTCTTATGTAGCTGAAAAACAATGTTTTGGTCAGTATCATCAGTCACTGATTTTAACTTTTATTGGCCGTTTTTTGTGTGAATACTGCACTTGAAAACAAATTTTACACTAAGCGACTCCAGGCCAAAGTCAGCATTAATAACTTTAATGGCGTCTTTATCATTGTTTTTATTGAGATTTAATCGTTTGTTAAAAAAAAAAAAAAAAAAAAAAACTGGATGCATTGCTGCTGTCTGCCTAAGCCCCAAAGCATGCGGAGTGTGTTTGTGTTTTTTTCCCTCATCCAAATGGTTTCTCTGTCTCTCCTGATAAGACTATGGATCGATGCCAGGGAGATGGAATTTCTTTTTTGAGTCACTGTTTGGGAAAAAAAACTCTCAGGACAAGCAAAGCAAAAGTCCTGCCGGCTTGTTTCTATGCAGTTTTTACAACAGAGAGATCTCCCCATCATCCTGCACCATGGACCCTGAGATCCCCACCCAGTCTTTCCAGTAGAACGACCAATATACTGGATAAGCAATAGTGAAGATGGGTGCATGGATGGATGGATGGAGGGATGCATGCTTTAGTCCAGTGGTTTTCAACCTGTGGGCCGTGGCCCCCTAGTGGGCCGCGACGGTATTGCAAGGGGCCCGCCAATTATTATTAATAGAAATTGTAATATTGTTAATATAATAAAAAATGTCCAGTCAAAATCAAATAAATCATAATTTGATATATAATTAAATAATGAGAAATTAAATAATAAAC